GCTGGGGGGGTTTCATTTGGTTGGTTTGTTTTTATCACAGCAAAATCTGCCTTATTAATGATCCTATCAGTCTCATAATTTCAAACTCCCACAAAGACAAGCCTGAAAGAGTATCAGGCCAACACCTCTCTAAGTTCCCTTCGATGCCTTTTGCAAAACAGCTCAGAAGTCAAGAGCTTGCAAGCTTGTTTGCCCCAAATAGCTGAAGGTCACAAATTTTCAAACTTTATTTTATGAACAGCGGGTGTTGGGCAGCGCTGTCCGGCTGCACTGCCCTGGAGAGCCGAGCGGGCACTGTGCCCTGTCAGGAATTCAACCCGTACGAGCGGGTTTTGCCTCGGAAAGGGAATCGTATTTCTCCTTTATTTAAAAGCGAATAAAAGAGGGAGGAAAAAAAAAACAACAAACAAAACAACAACAACAAAAAACCAAACCCAAGAGGGAGGGTTTAGCTCTTTTTCTTGTTGCTAAATCGTGTTTCTCAGCCGCAGCTCTGTTGCCCTACAAAGACTGCAGAAATACCGGGGGTTGGAGAAGCCTTTAGCATTTAAGTGGTGCAAGAAGACACATCGAGAGCCAGGGCAAGGATAAATAGAGGGAAACAAGCAGAAGGGCATGTCCAGACTGAGGACGTACCCCGGTTTGACCCCTAAATACAGAATCGCTTCTTAAATAAACAAAACAGGACTGTGAGCCACAAGTTTGATTTTCTGCATGGGGTTCTTCCGTTTGGGAGTTTTACCTGAGAAGTTGGGAAATTTCCTGATGTGAGGAATAAACGCTGAGTTTATTCAAGGTTTGCTTAAAATGGAGGACAGGGCAGTAGGATCCCCTCAAAAGCATCTCTTAGAGACGGGCCAGCCGTGGCAGGCCCAGACCCCACCACATCCCTCATGGCCCACGTAGGGAGGAGCAGATAGAAACCCTCACATTCCCATGATGTCCAAACACTTCTGAAGAGGCCCCAGGGAGCCAGCAGGGATTTTTCCCGTTATCCCCCAAATACTCTACAGCAGGAAATCTTGTATCAAAAAGCTCTCTTGCAACATCTCCAGAGTTCTCCCGCTTTGGCCCAAGCAGAAATACTGCAGGAACAACCTTGCTCAGGGAAAGATGAGTGTTGTCTCGTGGTTAGAGCACAGGGTTCGTGGTCAGGAGCTGTGGGTTTTCATTCCAGCTTTGCCACTGAATCATTTTGAGAGCTTCGCTAGTCACTTCGTATTAGAACCAGTTAGTAATTTTCCGTTGGGATGATTTTCTGATGGAAAACACTACTTCTACAAAACTGAAATCTTCTGGGTGAAAATCAACTTTCTGTTGGGAATACCTTGTGTCTAGGTGAAGTAGGAAAGGAGACACAAACTGAAGCATTTGGAGTTTGCTTGCATTAGTCCAAATGCTTTGCTTTGAATAGACAGATTTAAAAAAAAAAATTTAAATACCACCTTCCTGACTGCAATTCCAAGTCAGCTCATTGCAGGGTGGGAGTGTGTGCTCTCATGCTCTGCTTTGCTCCCCGGGAGGTCGGCACCTCCCATAGCGGGATGCAAATTTCTCTCTTCTGCGACGTGTACATCCCAATCTGAGTCAGAGCGTCCCAGGCACACGGCACCTGGCCCCTGGGAACAAATCCTGGCGTACGGCTACTGCTCTGACCAAGGAACTGCAGCACGGAGAGAAAGTATAGAGTTCAGAGACACAAACAAGATGTTTCACCTTAGTTCAGTGATCCCAAACAAAATACCGTCACTGCAGATATACCAAAATGTTTTGTTCCACTGAAATGCTGTAAAATGAAGCCCGAAGAAATGGGCCTGAGTGTGCTTTCACTATCTCTGACAATCAAATCCTATAAAACCTTCCATACACGTGCTGAGCTCCGGTTTATAGTTCCTGTTCTTCACCCTCCCAACTATATCCCTTCTTCACTGTTTTGTTCCAGAATCCAATTCCTCTGTTTATTAAAAACAAATTTAACTATTTCTGTCTTCCAAATATTCATAGATTGCTGACTCTTTAAATATAAGTTGTTCTCCTCCCTCAGTGTATGGGTAGACACCATTTAAATCTCTTAACTTCTGTTTTGCCAAGTTAAACATTAACCATTTATATTTCCTTTCATAACAGCCAGTTTTGGATTATCTAATAAGCTTTCTCTGCACTTGTTTCAGTCAGAATTCATCTTTTCTGAACATGAATGATCACAGCCCAACATAATGCGTAATGTTCAAAAAGATGTCTTGCTAGTGACTTGTACAGTGGCAATAATAATAATAATAATAATAATAATAATTCCCTGTGCAGCCTTTTAGTTACAGACAAGGATGAATTTTGCCTTTTTTTTTTTACCTATATCTGTATCACATTAGTACTTTGACTTATCCAGGTCTTTTTGCTCAAAAAAACTGCAAAAGAAATTAAATAGTCATCTGTTTGTAAGTACAGACAAATGCATTGCTTTTCCTTAATATATTTTTCCATTTCATTGCACTTCTCTAGCACTCACATGGTTTCTTTCCAAGGGGGTGACAAATGAAGATATTTCGAGAACAGTTACAAGACCTTTAGCCTCCAAAATCAGAGTCCTGAAAATGCTTTTTTTTTTTTTTTTAAATGAAAGAATCAAAGTTTATCATGTATTTCCAAGACCACATGAGACTTAATTCATTACTCCTTTGAAATATTCTGAAAGCTGAGGGTTAAGAGGTGTTATATTAGTGCAGAATAATGATGATTAATTTGTGTTTCATCCCAAATGCAGGAAGAATAGATATGTGTGCAGTGGATCCTCTATAATTTCAAAATCTTTCTATAAACTTCAAAATATCTTTTAGACATGTGTAGCTTAAATGGAAAAAGAGCCCACTTTTTTTCCTGTTTAGAATGTGGCTGTTGTAGTTTTGTTTCAGATATTACTGCTTCAAATAACCTTCCTCTTCTTCCAAGATTCCGGACAGATTTGCTTAAAATTTAGCCTTTTGCCTTTTCATTACAGAGTAACTAATGAAAATTCCATTTTAAATGTGCTTTCTGTGAGACAGGAACATTCTTTTTTTTTCATTTTTAACAAAAGCCCGTATTTCAAACTCTAGGGATACAGCTTCAGGTAGCGTAAATCAGCATTGCTCTAAGATGGCCCGCAGTCCTCTTAACCAGCTCTGCAGAAAAATTTAGTGGTTTTAGATGACAGTTGGCATCTTTGAAATATTCTTTTTTGCAGAACTAGACTAGATGTGACACTTGCCGGAGAAGAAATCTTGCATAAATCTGTCTAAAAAGACTCAGTTAATCATATTACTTCACTAGCAGTGGTAACCTTTGGAGGCCAAAGTCCAGACAGGTTGAGAAATGGAACATGAGTACATAAAGGTGACAATTCCATTAACTGCAATCAAAGAGAGAGGTGAATGGTGAGATAAAGACAAATGACTTATTCTATAAAGAAGAGAAAATATGTGTGTGAAGGGGAAAGAGACAGAATGAACATTTTCCAGCCTTGTCAAGGAAATAAAGCACCAGTCCTGCTCCATTGAGACCAACACAAAAACGTCTCTCGGCCTCCCTGGATGCAAGCTCTGGCCCAGCATCTCAGCTTGCTGTTGAATGTTAGAGGGAACCACCATTTCAGGAGCACACGTGTACACAGGTGAGACGCCCCAGCAGAAAACTAGATGCACAAAATCTTCCTGAATTCCTCACCGTAGCCATGCTGGAAATGCAACTACTGGGCCTAGCTTTGCAGTCAACAGAGCATTTTGGAGGAATAAATAAATAAAAAAAAAAAAAAAAAAATGGAAAAACTGTTGTCATTTCTGAATCCAGGGATTCAGGATTCTCAAATATACCAGACAAGATCTTCCAGTCCAGTCCAGCCCCAGAGGCTGAACTTTTGGGCCCCAAATCAGAAAGCATGAGCACATATTGATAACTGAAACAACCACCACAGGGGAAGAACAAGTTCTTACGCAGGTTCAGTTCCCAGCTTCAGCACAGATAAAAGAGAGATTGCTGGGGCATGTTCTCAGCCTTCAGTGAGGCCAAGGACAGCAGAAGTAGCATCGCTAAGACAACTTCACATCACCTAAGTTTTTTCAGAGGAGGTGGAAGCTCAGAGACCAGCCACGCTGGCTGCTGAGCTGCTTTGCAACACTGGATCCAATCTATTAGCTCTCAAATCTTTCTAAATTTAAGATAAAGAGGAAATAAATAATGTAAAATCTATCTACATATACAATCTCCTTCTCTTTTGCAATTTTCCCACTTGCATGTGGGGTTTTCAAGAATTTCTATGCAGAAAACGTCATCTAAAACCAATCCATCTACCAAACCAAATCAAGCCGATAAGCAAATTGCTTTACTTACAGAAGCAGAGATGGATCTTTGAGCATTCAAAGATTCCGCTTACTTAGGTGCAGATTAACATAACAATTGAAGGGAAGAAAAGATTTATAAAGGGTCATGTAACATGTGCTTCCTTAGGCAGTTAATACGAGCACCTGCGGGTGGTTTTCAATCTCATTTTTAAGAAGCAGTGTAAAGCTGGTGTAGGAAATAGAAGCTGGGGAATACTCTGGATGAAATGCTTACTGAGTCATTAGACTAAGACTATTCATTCAAACAGGGGAATAGGGAAGTAAAAACCAACGGAATACTATGCAATGACAAAAGGGATTTTTGAGCGTACAATAGGAAAACAATGAAATTTCTTTTGGGGGACTTTTTCTGTTTTTAACAGACATTAAGTTATTCTTAGATACTAGCGCAGCCAAAAAGGGAAATCCCTGTTTTACATGGCTCTAAATATAGCTAGAAAAAAATTTCAGATTTGATCAATTTGTGGCCCATTTCTTTACATTTTGGATAACTCACCTTGTAATACAGACGTCAGAAACCGATACAAACACGCATGCAATATTTCAGGCTCCACCAACATTCCAGTGTCTTGCCCAGGGCCTGTTCCTGCCTGCCCTCTTGGCTGGATACCAACATCCTTTATTCTCAGGGGAGTCAGCCTTCCAAAAAACCACTTGGCACTAGAGTCAGGACTGCTCTGTTTTCCTAACGTTCGTGGCAGGCAGGATGTTTTCTAACTCTGGTACCCAACAGTTGAGCATTCCAGACAGCACAGGGATTTTTCTCGCAAAACCACACTGCCAGTGCCATAAGAGTAAGAGAAGTTCTGTGACACCGTGTGATCCTGGTGGGAAAAAGAGGATGATTTTGTTGCCATATAGTGATACACAAAGGGAAAACGCGCATGACTCCTGCCACCTTTATAAACTCTCTCCTTCTGTGGTGTGAATGCTGAAAACATTCTGGCTTAAAGTCATGTTTTCATCAACTGGTTCCCCTCTGGGAAGGCTGCCAGTTCTCCACAGATTAGGTTAAGGAGAAGACACCCCCACGCCCAAATGCTTGGCCAGAAAAGAAGCCCACTGCTGCAGTGTAGTGGAGGGGGTGCTAAACAGGCTTCACACACGTTCTTGCTGTACCCATCCGTGTTGCCAGCATGCAAAAATGTAAGGGGATATGCAAAAGTCACCCCCGTGACCTCTGCATGTCCCTTTACACTCCTTAAATATTAGAAGGACTACTTCATCATTAGCATTTATATTCAAGAGATCACTGATGTCAGGGCCAGCTACAACACTGCAGCCTTTGCCCTGTGGAACAGAAACTACACAGGTGAGGGCAGGCAGGTTACAACTCACAGACAGGACTGGGCTCCTCACTGACCAGGAGCTGACACGCTGCCCTGCTCTCTCTGCGAGGCACATTTGCCACAGACGTCTTCCATCGAAGCTCTGTGCCAAAATCCAGATGTGCAAAATCGTGAAATCACAATCTGTTGAGCTGGAAATGAATTTCACAAGCCAGGCTGTGAAAATCTGTTGAGCTCCTTAAATTTCACAATACCTTACATCTCATGAAATATAACTAACAGAGGTTAAATATTTTTATGCAACGTCCTTCCAAGACTTTTTCCATAGAATATGACCAGCTTACATGAAGTAGTTTGGTGCAGTGGTGATATGTCACACAGTGATTCCAGAACGCAGTCAGTGTGGAGAAGGGTTGAAGAGGACTCAGCTGCACTTCAAGCAGCATGTCCTGTTGACATGGCTGGGACTTTATACAAAAGTCAGATCCAATTTTTCCCTTTGAATTCAGAAACTAGTTGTGAACACAGTGATGGGAGGCAAAGCCCCATCAGCATCTGTTAATTCGTAAAAAATATCATTGTCTGTCCTTCAAGCGTAAGATTGTTAACTAGAATCTGGACTTCCCAGATTATAAACAACATGCAGCCTTTCTCCTGAACTCATTGCAAAATGTACAAATGATGTTCTAAAGACAGCACTGTAATCTTTTAAAATCTTATATTCCACAGGGGCTTATTCAAGTACTTAAAAAGAAGTCTGTAGGATCATTTAGCCACCTGCAAATCATACACAAATAAACCAAGCAGCACCAGAATCAGGAATAAAAATCACCATATATGTAGCTAGTTCCCCATAGCAGTTAGATTTTCATGCTCTGTGTACAACCCAAGACAAATTGTCTGCTTATAATTAAAATATGATACTGTTTCCAGAAGTCTTGCCTCTAGGGAGATAATTTTATACCATAGGGCAGATTCAGCCCTGGGTAGTATTTCTGATTTTCATGGAATTACACCATTAAAGAATTTTGTCCAACATCTTACCCACACTGATGCAATTCAACTTTTAAGGGACAGTTCTGGGGTTTCCTCCTAACTCAGGCCAAGTTTCTGGAACAAGGGAAGTCTGTAAAAGAAACCGTTGGAGGGATGTTTTAGTCTGGCATTTAGGAATATTCACATATTAGAAAACGTCACAGGATTTATTTTGTACATCTTGCACGTTAGAATTTCTGTCTTTATTTTCTTTCCTTACAGATACGTTGCCAGTAGGTGGTCACAGCAAAACAGGATAAAATCCAAAGAAATGTAATGAAACAATTACAGACAGCTGTGGGTAGAAATACATTTGTGGATCCAGTTAATTCTGCTTCATCTTTGTTATATAAATCTATTTTACAAATTTTATGTATTGCCTGAGCTTGTAATATATGATTAACGGGACGTCTGCACCACTCAGGACTCTGGGGAAAAATATAAGATATTAATTCTCCAACATTTTAGGTAACTTTAAATATTTTGGGCGTGATTGATCTCACGTAGTGCTTTGGATTTATGCTTTGCATGGCGGATGGAAATCAGAATATACACATCGATGCTCTCACTGATGTTGAAAACTTCTGACTTTTGTGCAGAACCCGAGAAGAAGAGCTATAACACTTCCCTCCTCCTGGAGATAACCTGGTCTTTCCTAAAATCATGCAGCTTCATAGGTCATGGCCCAGAAAACAGGAGTTTCCCCAGCTCCTCCTGCCAGTGCTACATGTACTAGGCACCGTGGTGGGGGGCGGGTTGCAAACGGTGGAAATGTCATGCTGTCAGAGGTCTGGGGGAGATTATTCCACCCTCTCTGCAGTTGTTTGAGCTGCCCAGACAGCACAAAGCAGATGTGCAGGTTCTTGAGGCTTCCTGGGAAAATCAGCACTGTTTCAAAATCATATCAGAACTACAGAAAGATGAATCAGGTTTGGGTCAAGAGGGAAGAAGGATGCAGTAGCTTTTGACTGCAGTCAACTGGTAAATGATGAACTCAACGTTGAGCGGTCTTGCAAGTCAGAATAGTCAGTGCATCGCATCAAAAACTCCTTTAGACTATTGCCATAATATTAGAAAGAACATGGAAAAAGAACAATCAAAGGTACATTTTAAATCTCCTATTTGCATTCTTAAACTGACAATCGTAAAGCCTAAGCAAATGCTATCAATAAATTAAAACATATCTAGAAATACTGCACAAAAATTAAAAAACCTTCTGGCACAGAAGACAGCTGCAGTTCAGAGTTTCTTCCAGTGTTAAGCACAAGCAGCACAATAAAAATCTTCTAAGCATTCTTTAAAATCACATTCTTGTTGCTAACTTTTGGATTTTACAGGTTGTCTTTCTAAAGCAATGATAAAACCATCACACCTTTTAATAAACTCTTTGAATCATTGACCAGTCTGAAAAACTGAAAGTGGAATAAAAAGCAAGACACAACAAAAATCAGAAATACTGTACATTTTTGCCATTTCTGTCAGCTACAGCTAGGAAATCTTGTTATAAAGCAAGAAAAAAAAGTTGAGGAAGGAAATAAATGGCAACTGCACTCTTATTTTAGGCTATTTTATGTCCGATTGTGTCAAAGGTAGGAGGGGTGTGAGACTGGGTACGTAACTCCACCCTCTCCAAGAACTGCCGGGATCTTTGTTTATGGGCATGATCCAACATGAGAACAGTTTCCTTACCTACGGTATGTTGTAATCACGGAAATATCCTGGAATGTTCTGACACCTCGTCCCCGTCATCCCGATATACACTGAAAAGTCATCATCTTGGGAGATACAGGACAGGAAAATTAGCATGGCAGATAATTATCCCATGGGCTGCAAACATCTCCCTCAATAGAATCCTGGCCACCAAGGGCCAGCGGGTAGGGTGATGGGGTCTGGGGGGGAGGCCAGGGGGTGCCAGCACCTCTGTACGTACCCTCCTCTGCTGCCTTCAAAGGGAATGATGCTTTAAGTCACTCCACTTAATGATCTGTATACTCTACTGCTGTAACTCAAATTTCTCCCCCCCAAAATCTTAAAGTAAACTCTGAAGAATTGGGAGGAGGAAGAAGCAGCTTTTATTGAATGAAGCAAGTTTTCCAGAATAAAACCTCATCCTTTTCAACCAGCTATTACAGTTAATCTGATTGGCTAGTGCTGTGCTTCAAGTTTACTCAGTTTTTTTTTTTCTCTTATTTTATAACTGGCAGCTCAGAGTTTCATCTAAAGCTATTTTGGATGCTTCTTCTTGCTTTAAAAAAATGCCCATCCAAGAACTATTTACTCAGCACCAAGCTTTAGAAAGGTTTTTTTTTATCTCCTTGATAGGGGAGGAAAAAATTTGTTAGAGTTACATTGTTTTAATACGTTAATGAAAGAAATCTCAGACGGAGCTGTGGATGTGACTGTTTATCATCATTTGAGAGAATATACGTCCTAAGCTCAGTGGTACTTGTGTCACTGAGTTTCTCATGTTGTTGAAAACTGACACCAGTACCATGATCTGAATAACTTAACATTTTGACCCAAGAGTAATACCCCTCTTTGAACGAAAGACCTCCAGAATTAAGACTTCAGCTGCTCCATCTTGAGCTACAGAGTTATTTTTCCAAGCTGCTGCCTGTGTTGGACTTCAAACCAAAACTGAATGACTGTGGAGGAAGCCTCATGTACAACAGATAAATACATGGAGGCTTTGGGGATTTTGGAACATCAAACCCTTCAGAGTACAAAGTAGGTGCACTTCCCTTCCCACCAGAAGGTTGATTTATCATAAAGGAATACATTGCTCTCAGACGAGCTCACAGGCTGGTCATGTTCTTGCTCCATTAATTTATTCTCAACCAGAATAAAATGAGTGTTACCTGTGGTGAGGGTTGTCTTTGTTATTGTTCTCCTCTATACACTTGTATTAAAGGGAACCAGTTCAGAGGTTGACAGTAAGGCTAAGGATTTTGGTGGTATTTTTGGCTTTTTAATCATTACCTTTTCAAGGCAGTCAGTGTTTTAGCAGTGGCCCGTAATGTTCTCTTCATTTCTAACCTGTTGCCATGTTTATTCCATTGAATTTAGCACAGAGCTTAGGACCACGGAGGCTGACGGACAGCAACTCCTCCCCGCTCAGCTTCCAGCAATACATCCTGGCCGTTTGCAGCTTGTTTAGCATGCAAAAACCCACACTGGTACTCTGGGTTGAGTAACCGTGTTCTTATTACACCCACTCAATGTCCTTAATATTGGGTAACAGGAAACCAGGGGATGAAACGAGCTATTACTTTTGGTTTCTAAGGTCCTGAGTCTGTTCTTAGGGGGGTATCTGCTCTTTGACAACACTTCCCATATTGTGTTTCAGCCAGGAAGATGGATGTACCTTAGTTAAAGTGAGTCATTCACTGAACCTAGGCCAAACTTTGAAGCAAATCTGGGCCAGTTTACCGCCTCAGGAGGAAACCTGTTTTTTTGCATGAATTAAATGTGAAAATGAGCAGAGCCTGACTGACATCTTCTCTGAATTCCAACTGTAAGGGTAAAACCCAGCGGGCATGAGCCTCAGGCATGACAAAAATGAGGAGGGGAAAACGAGGCTTCCTGTCTCCCCTCCAAGAACCAGAGAGACACGTTACTCAGAACTTAGGGTAAACTGTTAATTATTTACACACTAATTAAGTAATGTTTATAGAATGTCTTACATATGTAAATTGCTGTAAATATGCTTACATTCTTCCTGCAGTCTCCAATTAAATGAACTTTCATTTTAGAGCAAAACAATTCCCTACCAACTTGTTACACCAGTTCTTCAGCCAGGCAACATTTTAGCTAATGGTTCCAGCTGAAACTGCACTATTGTATTTCTCGACTCAAATTTCTGTGCTGGTTTGTAGTTGTTTCAATTCCATCACAGATCACATTCTGTTTAATGATAATTTGATTTTGCATTGCAAGACCCAGATGTACATTAGGAGGTCGCAACCTTTCCATTTATCTCTTAAAGTAACTATTTTTTCCCCAAGTTCCATCAGGTTAAAACAGTTAGCAATTTTTCTCCTTGAAGTGTCCCTTCAGCTTGGCCAAGATATATAATAGATCAGTGTAGCTACAAATGCATTACAACATTAGTCATCAATTAGTTTTAAACCATCACTGCAATATATCATTTATCTAGCTTGCTGTAGCACTATTGTGAACATTTAATTTTTTTAAGGCATCTTGCTTTTTTAACCTGACGGCTACATCCCCCTTTTGTCTCCTACACGGACATCTCCTTAAGGAACAATAAAAATTAGATTTGTTTGACCTGCACTCAGGGTTCGTTTAAGCGAGATGGATTTTAATTGCTCTGCCTAGTCTACCAGACAGCTTTTATGTAATATTCCAGACATTTACGCACTGTCTTTTCCCTTGCTGTAAGCAGGTGTGTGTGCCCACAAATGCCTGTAAAGCAGCTCTTACAATTCATTTCACATCTCTGGCAATCCTCTGGGAAATTGCTTACTTTGAGACATCACTGGCATCAAATTAAGGGCTCCAGTCATTGCCACTTCTTTCCTCCTAATCCCATTTTCTTTTGTCTTTAAGATTCAACTTTTTGTGTGGCTAATTCTAAAAGGACTTTGCTGAGGACTGTGTTCCTTGTGCTTGTGCTGTCACCATACAACGCAGACGACTCACCTCTGCATGTCTCAATGGTGAGGACGCGTACAGAGCCTTACCTGTCTGCCAAAATCCACACTGTCCTTCCACCATTTGCCCTCCGTTTGACTTCTTAGATTTACAATCTGAAGAGGTTTGGACCGTAAGACAACAAAGACTGAGAGAAGCACGTCTACTCCACAGACATTCAGTATCTTGAAGTATCTCTAACTTCAATTAGTAAGTCACGCGAGCAAGTTATCACAGCCTTGACTCAGAGCCTGAACACCCTGACTTCTCTGCCAGCTTGGAGTAGAGGCAAAATGAGCTCACGTTTGCCCACGATGAACCTTATTTGCTCCAGCTGCTCCGGCAGGGAGAGGAGAACCTCATGCGGAGGCTTCTCTCCCTGCTGACTCTCCTCTTCCATGGGTGATACAATCTGAAGATGAGGTCCTCTATTTTTCCTGTTCTTCCCATTCCTAAAAAGGAAGATTTGGCTGTCCTGTGAGTTACCAAATCAGCACAAAAAAATGGGCCTCCTAAGCAGTTATTTGTGCCTGCAGCTGGTTCTGGTCTAGTCTCTGTTGGACACACACATGTACTTAATTCCCATTTGTGCTGGATGCCTATTAAAAGAACAAATCTGCAAGTGAGGAGGGTCTTTTCTACCATGTCAATGGAAGTGAAATACGTAAATCTCCTGCATGCTGAGGGTGAATGTATGCTTAAAATGCTTGGGAGAACAGCTGTGAAAAAGAATAAGCAGTTTGTATTCTGCTGCAAAGTGTCACTGATCCAACACGCTAAGCTGATCCTCATGTAGTCCATTGTGCTTGCTCCGTTATACTGCCTACTGCTTCCATGTGTGGGGAATTCAAAATGCACAGCACAGAAAAAGGGACAAACCTGGCTTCTTCCACTGCAGCGTAACCAGCAGCAAGGGACCACTGGATTGGAAAGAACAATTCCAGTTAGGGGCCCTGTCAGCAAGTGGAGGTGGAGACCATGGCGAGCCACGGAGGGAGCTGAAGAGAAGCAGGGGGAACTGCCTGTCTTTCTCAGTCTGGGAGGCCATAAGAGGGATTGGAATAATCTTCCTTGGTGCCACTGTTTTTCTCCCCTTTTATCTGCCACCAGTGAATCCCAGTCATTCAGGCGACATCCTGGAGTGAGACTGGTATATGATAGGTGAATCACAAAACATTTAAATAATATTAAGGGTTCTGTAAGAGACTGTGGAAGGAAGTCCAGTTTCCTTTCCTTAAAACCCAACAGATCTGCACACTTGGTCAAAGCCCACAGTTCATCTTCAAAGTGCAAAGCACAACTGCACAGCTCAAGGCCTCTGTCTTCCCCCTGCCCGGTCAGAGCTGGCACCCCAACTCCATGATAAGCTGCACAAATGGTTTCCCTCTGGACAAGAGAGAGAAGCAGCAGAACACGTTAGGCATTAGTTACAGCATCCGTGGAAGAAATTCAGATGCTACACTGAGAAAAGCCTTAGAAGACTTTGCCATGATACAGACACTATGAATACAGCAGCGATAACAGGAAAGAGATGGGCGGTCCAATGCACTTACTTTGCATATGGACACATAATTTTAAATTTCATATTCCTTTTTTTTTTCCTAGGGCTTTTATATCCATCAATAACACACACTTCCCCGACAGAAGCACTGAAAATTAGAACCCATTTATTTAGCACCAAACAAAATCAGAAATATGAGAGGGCTTCAACACTAGAATACACATTTCCAAACCTCCGAGGACCAGAGGCAGCAGAGCTGGAACATTCACTAGCTGCATGTGCACTGAGGAGTTACATTTGTTCAAGAAAAGTCACATTACTTATATTAATTGGAAGTGTCCAGCTCATCCTGAGTCCACTTAAGCCTTGGCAAACTTCTACCTCCAAGGCATAACAAAAGTATTAATATAGATATTCCTTTATATTATCCCATTTACATAACGACTCCCACCTTTGCAACCTAATACATATTCTTTGGAACACAGAAAACTGTTGACTCATATCTGGACTGGGATGCCAAAACCTCCTAAATTTAGAGATGTTTGGAACAAGAGAGTTTGGTTCAGGCCCATCCACAACAGCAAATTAAACACAAGTCATCATCTGCGCGAGCGACATTTTCAGCATGTCCAGAGCCTGGCATGAGCTGACGTTCCTTCTCCCAGTCAGATTTACAGAGTTTGTGCATTGAAAAGTATTGAGCTAAATCACGGTCCAAGGGCCAAGTGCATAAATTAGACCTGTCCCCTCCCTTCAGTAAAACATATATACACGCTGTAGGTTGGCCAACGATGCTTTTGGCAACTCGAACAAGTCTGTGTGAGTGCGTGTTAACAGAAGGGGAGTTGCTGTCATACTCATGCATTTGCATTTTCTTTTCGAAGACTTTGGTGCAAGGAATATGTTGTACATCGTTTTTTCCCTCCATTCACATCAGATACTAGATTAAACAGGCAGAAAAAAAAATCTAATACTAAAAGTGTTGGCACATATTGCACTTTCTCAGCAGAAATTGTGTCGCTCGTACATCGGTTTGGTTTAAATGACGCAGGTCAATTGAAGGTCAGCAAGAAGTGCCAGGTTAGCATCCTCAGAGACTGAGGTCCTCTCCTCATTCACGGAACGAGTCCAGATCAAGAAATGTCAATTAAAGCTTCACGCCCGATGCTTCTCTCTTACAAGACAGTTATATTTCCTCAGGCCAACCAAGCACTCACCTGTTCCTTCAGGCCTCTGCTTATATGGCAAAACAGACTGACCAGCTGGCATGATGATAAGGGGACTGACACTATCAAACTGCTTCTCTAAACACTGTCAAGATTTTTATGAGCTGTGTATTTGCAGTAGTCCATGTACCTGTGAAGTAACTGAATCACTGTCTTCCATGTGTCAAAATGATGCCATTTCTGGGCTGTTCCATCTTCCTCCCACAGATCTACTGCATTTGAGGTAGAATGCATGGCCTAAAAACCCAAATACATGTTGCAGTCCTGACTGGCTCTTGGTGACTTCTAAAAAAGTAATACAGTGAATGCCACTAGGAAACCCACCAGTATTACCCCAAAGGGATGCAGTTTGCACTCTGGGCTTCAGCCTTTCAAACTGGATTATCTGTGCAAAGCTTTTCTCCATGACCTGAGGAACCAGCAGAATTATTTTTAGTTGAAGATGGAAAGCCTCACATAATCAGATGACATGAGAACTAGGGCTTTCTGAAAAATGGAAAACATGGAACGATTTTGGATTAAATCACAAAAGAACTAAATATTGTGCATATATCTTCTCTTGAATTTCCAGCAAATTCATCCTCTTGCCAGGCATCTCACTCAGCCCAAGCTCTCCTCTTGCAAAATTCCTTGGTATTTCATCTTCCAGGCTGCCTGATATCTCTGCTCCCCTTCAACTTCTTTCCAGGAGGTCCTTCCACAGATCCATGTCATTCCAGCACTGTGGCATTCCTGTGCCCCTTTGAGCAACTGGAGGATGTGCTACTTTGCACAATATATTCAGGTTCTTCCTACAATGTCTTCAGCCCTTCCCAGGGTGGCTGGTGCAGGGTGAAGGAGATGAACAGCAGAAGCAGTTGCAGGAGTGTCTGGACAGAGGATCGGAGCTCTGTTCTTTCCCTTAAATCCCCTGTGTTCATCTCTTAGCAAGCAGAATTGTTGTTCCATAAATGAGATCCAAAAATTATTTAATTCCAGAAATGAAAGTTGCAGGAAGTGTTTCTCTCCTTCAAGTTCTTTCTAAAATTATATCCGGGAAAACAAATTGTTAGGGGCTGACCTTGGGACTTGGCAGAGTCTGATGAAGGGCAGTGGTGAGGAAATCCTGTGTGTGTCTCCCAGAACATTCTGTCCTCTCCTTTTCGCACTGCACGTTCAGCCCTGGTTTGGAAGTGACCATGGGATGGGAGGTGGATTTACCTGAAGAGGGAAAGAAAGTGATGACAAGTGAAGTGAGCTGCCAGTTCCCTGTTAGCCTGTGGCAGGAGATGGTGCACCGCTCGGTGACCCCTCTCTCCGTACCTCTGGAGCCCCCAGCCCCGCTACTCTCTGCTGTGCTGGCCCTCCCAGCAGCTGGCAGCGCCTTAGGGGTGAGTCTGCTGCCCTGGGGCTGATGGGAGACCAGTCCCAGAGCACCAGCGCTGCTCACAGCAGCTCCCTCCTGGGCTTTGCCCTCCTGTCTCCTCCTGGGCCTCATCGACCGGCAGAGATCTGCTGCTTCACAGTCCCTTCCCCCCTCTGCAATTAGGACTACACTTCATTAACAGCCCCCAAAACACAAGCCTGAACACAATTCCCAGACAGATGGCTCTGGAGACTCTTTCCAATGTGCACCACATTTTAAAAGAAATGCTTTCTCTTATGCCACTCCCTCCTATTCCCAATAACAGAACAGCCTGGTAGCAACTACAGCAAACTCACGGTGGGAAATAGAACAGGAGAAAAGTATTTACTGTTCACAGTAATCTCCTTTGCTGTGATGTAGCAGAAATGTAACTGGCATGGCCTGAATATAAAAAAAAAAAATGTCTTTTGAGCATACTGCAGAAACTGCTGCTACAGTTATGCAAATTCCAGAACTTCTGTTTCTGTAAATAACAATTTTCCAGGGGAGAATTTACAGAGGAGACAGTCATGTGCTCTAGCCTGAACAAGAATCAGGAATTTCAGGGCCTGGTCCCAGCTCCACTTGGAGACAGGTACTTTGGCTCACTTGGCCTCCGCTTTCCATCGTAAGACCAAAACAATGATAATAAAAATCACAATGAAAGCAATTGAACAATATTTGCATGGTTATTTAGCATGTGTTTGCATGCTTTGCATGTTAAAAAAGGGATTGTTCCTCAACTTACAATCTCAGGACAAATAGGGAAGTAGAAAACGGGTAGGAGAACAGGAACAAAATTTAATATCTGTAGAAGTAAATTCAGTTCTGTAGAAAAACAAGCCGAAATGAGTATTTAAGAGAGGCTAAATACGCAAAGACTCAGAGCCTGGTGGAAAAAGTCAGGGAGTTCATACTGGGAACATGGGCTATGACGCAGAAGGAAGTATGGAAAGAATTGTGGAAGAAGCTGATAAATGGGCGGACTGGGCTGGAAATACTGGTAGAGCTGAAGGCAATATCATGACAGGTGTACAAACGATGATGATGATAATGATGAATGCCTTTTCAGTTTGGACAGTGATGAAGCATGAGTCCTGCTGACTAAGGGTGGAACAGCCCAGACAGTGACTGTTGGATTCTGCTGCCCCAGGGCAAGACGCAGTGGGCTGCACCTAAACCAAGGCAGGGGCGCCTCGGAAATAACACAATCCCTGCAAGCGAGGGTTAGCTGGGGATCTCAGCCACTTCCAAAGCAGTGCCCAGAACCTGAGAAAGATATTGCTTCAGAACTCTTTGATATGGCACATTCAGCAGCAGGTTCAACCAGTAATCCAGTGAAACATGCTTCCAAGTCAATAGGACAAACCCATGTGGGAATAACTGTGAGTCACATCGTTGCAGGAGTGGCACCCCTGCCCTGAGCCAAGCCCGGCCCAGAGCTGTTCCCTTGGCATCCAGCGAGGGTCTGCCACAGATCAAGTTCTCCATCTGAAATATCAAGCCCTGCCTCATCTGGGACAAATTTACTGCTTTGATCTTTAGACCCCACTTTATGTAGACATGCCAGAAGAGGTTTCCTAAACACTCAGACATCCATGGAGACAGAAATATCAACAGGAATCAATGCAGAGATATGTCACCTTGGCAAATTTAACTTACTATGTCCCCTTTATGCTTTGGCAACTTTCAGCTGAGGCTGGTTGTATGATTTGTTGCACTAAATTAGGGAAAGGCTGATTCAAGAACAAAAAATTGGAGCTGAAGAGGAGCTGGGGTTTTCATACTCACTGAAGTAAAATAATAATCACCTGTGAAGAGGAAAATACACGACAGAGGCCTCTGGCAGTAAAAATCTTAAAAGTATCATGAGCCACAGGTTACAAGAACAAAGACAAAGACATAAAGAAGAACAGATTAATCCAACCATGGCAGAACAGCAAGAAAAGCAGCTGGTTCAGATATTCATATTGACAAAACTCTGGCTGGCTACCAAATATACCCTTCCCACCCAGAAACAGTTTGGGCTTGAAGGGAGCATAAACTTCCCTTATTATTCTATACCATTAATTGCCAATTCTACTTGGTATCCAAATGCCAGAACATTTAACATCTGAATTCAGATATGGTGTGGTCCTAATCATCTGAAAAGTACCTACACCCTCTGCCCCACTCCTTAGGGTTCATGTGGGGAGAAGCATGACTTGCCATATGGAAAATATCAGTCAAAATAAAATATTTTTATCGTACGTTAAGAGTCATTCACAGTCTCCCACTGGTGTTTTCCGTAAAACCAAGACAAAGTGAGGTTGTTTAAGCACTGTCTAGTCTCAGAGACTGCAAATGGATGTCCATCCAGTTTTACTGCAGTCTGGTGTAGTCTTTCTTGATGCAGCACACATGCTTAGCCGTCTACATATTCCATAAAAGTTTTTAGTAAAAGTGGGAGGTTGTGCTACCAAAGGAGAACATGAGCCAAAGATGTTCTATTATCCATATCCTATTAAAGGTCAGAGAGAGCTCTTACCTCAGTGCTATAATGTGACCAGAAACTTAATTGAAAATATACAAAAAGGTTATTAATAAAGAGATGAAGCCATAGTAAATTTAATACAGCTCACAGAAGGACTTTTGCTGAAAAGAGAAGGTTATAGAGATAGATAGATAGGCCTTTAATTAAGGTGTATTGCTGGGTTAAGTGTAAATTTTCCAAGCAAGGATGAAGATAGAAAACTGGTAATTGCTTCCAATTTATATTATAAAAATCAGTCATATTCATTTTACTTCCCGTGACAGCCTTACTTAATTCTAAGGTTCATTCACTTAATTGGAAGGGAGAATTCTTTGAGTAAAAACATAAGGAATTGAATAAAGGGACAGACAGATTGCAGGAACTGAACGAACAGCACTTTAAACGAAATCATTAAAACCCCTCGTCCAAGATTCTCAATAGATTCATGTTTGCTGTCCTCAAGGGATATTTATTATCAAAGCTGAGTGGGAAAAGATTGGAAATTATATCTGAAAAAAGTCTCTAATGGTCTTCTTGAAAATTGAATCTGAAGAACTCCATGTTTCTATTACTACCATAATTTTTCCATGTCTCACAATTATTGTAGACTAGAAACTCAAATCTCTCACCGAGACCTCCTGCACCAATGGTAGAACCTGGCCAGCTGTAACCAAAAGGTACACATGTATACAAACTAAATTTGCTTCAGCCACATTCTCCTCGTTTACTTGTTCACAACAGTTACAGGCGGGAGCGTGTTCAAAGAGAGCATTGTTGTAAGTATTCATACAACCCTCTTTGCATAAATCAGCCTCAGAAAAAAAAGTCTTACTAAAGCGATGAGTCTTTGTGGGTTTGGGCGTTATCCAGTTAGCGATAAGGAAACAATACGTGGTGGGTTAAGTGGCAAATAACAAGCAGTAATGATAAGAGCTAACATTTAAAAGTAATAGTCCTGGAGAATACAAGTAATTCACAAGCCTAAATATCAGAATCACTTGTTGACTACTATTGAATAATAAATCTATCTCTCTTTTGCAAGTAAATTGCCTAACAAAAAGAAGATTAAGTTCTGAGGGGGTTTGTTTAGTTTTCCAGTGTTTCACACAGCTTCCATGATATCTAGGTAACTGCCTGCTCTCCTCCTGAGAAAGACCAGCACAGGACAGCTGTTTCCACACTTACTGTTACTGGGTAAGAGATATAATTCTGTAATTATCATCAACCAAGGTGCACTGAATTTTATCTCCCAGTGCATAAATCAAAATAAGTGCACCACAAATACATTCCTGGCATGGGCAAGTGGATTCTGTTACAGACAAATGCATCAGCAGCACTATGTCCAAGTCTTTCTGGGATCCATTTAAGCGACCACTTGAAAAGGATCCATAGGAAAAAAAAAGGACCATAAAAATGGGGAAAGCTGAGGCAAAGACAAGTAGCACAGAGCTAAATCTCTCCCTGTCAGAAGGCAAATGATGTTCAAGAAATTACTCTATGCACAGTTTTGGTCTAAGTCTTTGGTTTCTGGAGGGAAGTGACAAGGGATATCCATCACTGGATAAAGAGAAGGTTAAAAATGTCCTGATGCTAATCGTTCAGCAAATATAAAATAATCATGTTGGGAAAGTATTTAATACTTCCAATTTTCAAAGTGATGAGCAAGCTTTAACTAATTAAACAGCAAGGTTAGAGTAATTAAAAGCTCAGATGTTGCTAGTACGAACAAAATAATAGATGGAATGAATTATCTTTAAACAATTCAAGACTAAAAGAAAACACCAAAACATTCCTATGTTTACATGAAAGGAATGAGACCTATATACATCAAGAATGTTAAGGCTAGCAACAATAAATTTTTTATCTGTCAGCGGGAAGGGAAGATAGAGCTCCAGAAAGCCCAGGGAGGATTAGGGAGAACAGTAGACAATCGACAGTGAAGCAGAGACAAAGCTGGGAACATAACTATAAAGTGCTTGAGGAAATCCCTAAATCCATTGGTATTAAAGCATTTACAATGACTTTTCAAATGTTGTGGCCAGCCTCACTATCAGGAGAGTTCTGTCATTTAAGACACTGCAAGCAGGATCGGGTCTTCAAGTTAAAAAAGCTTTAGTGAGGTTAGAAGTTATTTCATGAAACACACTTATGGTGATTTGCTAATAGCTACTATCAGGCCTTAGCTGTGCATACAGAAACAAGTTAAAGGAAGGTAAGATCCACCGTGAAACCGAAGCTCCCTGGCTGCTCGGCAGGGAGCACATGCTATCAGTGATGCCTTGTGACAGCAGCAAGGCTTTCCCA